TTCCTTCAGGAATGGCCCTGTATTTGGCTCCATCCACCTTCCGCTCAATTTTAACCATCTTCCCTGTCCCTGCTGAAGAAAAGCAGGCCCAAACCATGATGCTGCCACCACCATGTTTGACAGTGGGGATGGTGTGTTCAGGGTGATGAGCTGTGTTGCTTTTACGCCAAACATAACGTTTTGCATTGTTGCCAAAAAGTTCGATTTTGGTTTCATCTGACCAGAGCACCTTCTTCCACATGTTTGGTGTGTCTCCCAGGTGGCTTGTGGCAAACTTTAAACGACACTTTTTATGGCTATCTTTAAGAAATGGCTTTCTTCTTGCCACTCTTCCATAAAGGCCAGATTTGTGCAGTATACGACTGATTGTTGTCCTATGGACAGAGTCTCCCACCTCAGCTGTAGATCTCTGCAGTTCATCCAGAGTGATCCTGGGCCTCTTGGCTGCATCTCTGATCAGTCTTCTCCTTGTATGAGCTGAAGGTTTAGAGGGACGGCCAGGTCTTGGTAGATTTGCCGTGGTCTGATACTCCTTCCATTTCAATATTATCGCTTGCACAGTGCTCCTTGGGATGTTTAAAGCTTGGGAAATCTTTTTTGTATCCAAATCCGGCTTTAAACTTTTCCACAACAGTATCTCGGACCTGCCTGGTGTTCCTTGTTCTTCATGATGCTCTCTGCGCTTTAAACGGACCTCTGAGACTCTCACAGTGCAGGTGCATTTATACGGCGACTTGATTACACACAGGTGGATTCTGTTTATCATCATTAGTCATTTAGGTCAACATTGGATCATTCAGAGATCCTCACTGAACTTCTGGAGAGAGTTTGCTGCACTGAAAGTAAAGGGGCTGAATAATTTTGCACGCCCAATTTTTCAGTTTTTTATTTGTTAAAAAATAAAAAAATATCCAATAAATTTCGTTGCACTTCATGATTGTGTCCCACTTGTTGTTGATTCTTCACAAAAAATTACAGTTTTATATCTTTATGTGTGAAGCCTGAAATGTGGCAAAAGGTCGCAAAGTTCAAGGGGGCCGAATACTTTCGCAAGGCACTGTATATATGTTCCCCTGTGTGTGTCACTTGTTAGGTCAGTTGGCTTTTGTTGAGGTATCAGACAATTCAGTTTGCTGTATTTTGAGTTTCCTTATCTTTTGACCTCTTTTAGGGCCCAATTTATCTGATGTTTGTATTTTTTTTCCTACTTTTGTGTTAATTAAAGCCCATTATTTTGAACTTTGAAAGCTGTGTCTTTTGCCTTACTGCTTGGTCCCTGACATTGTCTATAAAAATAATAATAATAATAATCCCACAGTCTAAATCTGCAATCATAAATGCCTTATTTGTCCAGCCAAAAATCCAAAGTTCTCTTTACCATTACATGTCACAAAGAAAACCAGTAGGTCCTTTCCAGCTAGGAAGGTGGAACCAGGAAATGTTTGGCACTGTTGCTAGCAAAACAGCTGCTTGGAAACTTTGTGAATTGACTAAAAGCTGCAGTTCTAAGTAAGTTCATTTAAAAAGCTACAATTTAAAGTGATAGTAAACAACACTGGTCTAGATTTTGGCAACATTTGTCAATTTCTGTTAAATTTCTTTTTCCTTAGAGGCAATACAGACAAACATTGCTATATAGGGAGAAGCAATGCAGCAGATGTCATGTATACAGGACACAGCTGAAGTTAATTTGCTGGGCTTTTAAATACAAGTTAAAACAGCCAAGCAGTTAAGTGTACAAAACGGATTCAGGATAAAAGCAACAGAACCAGTTTGACAAATTGCAAGCAGGTGTGCATGTTGCACATGACTGCATGCACTGACATATGGTGTGAGAAAGCAAAGGTTTTTATGTACAGTATTGTTCAAAATAATAGCAGTACAATGTGACTAACCAGAATAATCCAGGTTTTTAGTATATTTTTTATTGCTACATGGCAAACAAGTTACCAGTAGGTGCAGTAGATTCTCAGAAAGCAAACAAGACCCAGCATTCATGATATGCACGCTCTTAAGGCTGTGAAATTGGGCAATTAGTTGAAAGGGGTGTGTTCAAAAAAATAGCAGTGTCTGCCGTTGACTGTACAAACACAAAACTATGTTGTACAAACGTTTTTGTTTCTAGGATTTAGCAATCCTGTGAATCACTAAACTAATATTTAGTTGTATGACCACAGTTTGTTATAACTGCTTCACATCTGTGTGGCATGGAGTCAACCAACTTGTGGCACCTTTCAGCTGTTATTACACTCCATGATTCTTTAACAACATTCCACAATTCATTTACATTTCTTGGTTTTGCTTCAGAAACAGCATTTTTGATATCACCCCACAAGTTCTCGATTGGATTAAGGTCCGGGGATTGGGCTGGCCACTCCATAACATTAATTTTGTTGGTTTGGAACCAAGACTTTGCTCGTTTACTAGTGTGTTTGGGGTCATTGTCTTGTTGAAACAACCATTTCAAGGGCATGTCCTCTTCAGCATAAGGCAACATGACCTCTTCAAGTATTTTGACATATGCAAACTGATCCATGATCCCTGGTATGCGATAAATAGGCCCAACACCATAGTAGGAGAAACATGCCCATATCATGATGCTTGCACCACCATGCTTCACTGTCTTCACTGTGTACTGTGGCTTGAATTCAGAGTTTGGGGGTCGTCTCACAAACTGTCTGTGGCCCTTGGACCCAAAAAGAACAATTTTACTCTCATCAGTCCACAAAATGTTCCTCCATTTCTCTTTAGGCCAGTTGATGTGTTCTTTGGCAAATTGTAACCTCTTCTGCACGTGCCTTTTTTTTAACAGAGGGACTTTGCGGGGGATTCTTGAAAATAGATTAGCTTCACACAGACGTCTTCTAACTGTCACAGTACTTACAGGTAACTCCAGACTGTCTTTGATCATCCTGGAGCTGATCATTGGCTGGGCCTTTGCCATTCTGGTTATTCTTCGATCCATTTTGATGGTTGTCTTCCGTTTTCTTCCACGTCTCTCTGGTTTTGCTCTCCATTTTAAGGCATTGGAGATCATTTTAGCTGAACAGCCTATAATTTTTTGCACCTCTTTATAGGTTTTCCCCTCTCCAATCAACTTTTTAATCAAAGTACGCTGTTCTTCTGAACAATGTCTTGAACGACCCATTTTCCTCAGGCTTTCAAATGCATGTTCAACAAGTGCTGGCTTCATCCTTAAATAGGGGCCACCTGATTCACACCTGTTATTTCACAAAATTGATGACCTCACTGATTGAATGCCACACTGCTATTTTTTTAACACACCCCTTTCAACTAATTGCCCAATTGCACAGCCTTAAGAGCGTGCATATCATGAATGCTGGGTCTTGTTTGCTTTCTGAGAATCTACTGCACCTACTGGTAACTTGTTTGCCATGTAGCAATAAAAAATATACTAAAAACCTGGATTATTCTGGTTAGTCACATTGTACTGCTATTATTTTGAACAATACTGTATGTGAGAAAGGAATCTAATCAGTGTTCACACTTTTAGCAGCTGTTGGTTTGGTTTGTACAGAACAGATATGGATCCGACATGCCATCTATAACCCCTTAAGTTATTCCAAATTATATGATGCCTCTCTGTAAAATGAATCATATCTGCTGCAGCAGAGAAATTAGAGCTGATTACAGGTCCGTTAAAAAAAAAAAAAAAAGACTGCATGATTATAGTGTGTTATATACAAAGAATTCAGAAAGTATTTAGACCCTCAGGTTTTGTTTTATTTTTTGAATACATAGTTTCACTCATCTTAAAATATATTTTTTCCCTCAGTCTACATATGAGATTACACCTATGAGACAGGATTGTGTCAAGACGCAGATCTGGGGAAGGATACAAGAACATTTCTGCAGCATTGAATAGTGCCCAAGATCACAGCAACCTCCATCATTCTCAGATGGGAGAGATTTGGACCCACTACTAGTTTTCATAGATCTGATCCTCCCAGCCAGACTTCATAATGATGGACAAAAGGCCTTGGTCAGACAGGGAACTGAAATCCCAGGGCTGGGGGATCTCAGGCTGGGGTGAAGGTTTACACTTCAACAAGACAACGACCCAAAGCACAACACCAATAAAACACAGGAGTGGCTTTGGGAAAACTCTGTGAAAGTCCTGAAGTGGCCCAGCCAGAGTCTGGACCTGAATCCAACAGAGCATCCCTGGATAGACCTAAAAATTGCTGTGCACTGACACTCCACATCCAACCTAGCTTACCTTAAATGATTCTGCCAAGGGGAATGGAAGAAAATTCCAAAAGAAAAGGTGCCAAGCTCGTAGCTCTATTCTCATGACTTGAGGCTGTCATTGTTGCCAAAGGTGCTTTAACCAAGTATAAAGTCAAGGGTATGAAAACTTTTGTAATTGGGACATTTCAGTCTTTTATTAATAAATAAATAAAAACACTCAACCTGTTTTTGCTTTTTCCTTGTGAAGTATTGTGTGTAGATTAATGTGGTGGGGGTTAACTGAATTCATAAGATGTCTGAAACATGAAACGTGGAAAAGAGTATCTGTCGGTATGAAATGTGTGGACTATAATGTTGCCAGAAAAAAAGAGGGCTGTCATTTAAAAGCCTGAGTGCAGTACGGTGTCGTGCCTGCAGTGCGCATACAACAGCATCATTAGAGTGCAATCCAGGTTCACTGGGCACATTTAGGCAGAAAGCTTTATATAGATTAAGTAAAAGAAAACTCACCAAATCACCTGATTCGGAATATATTGCCTGCAAAGGAGAAAAGACCATTAGAAAAAGCAGCATGCATGTAACAAGCTTGTGAAAAAAAATATTGAAAACAGGAAATGCCCTTACCGAGTTTGGGATGTAGCCAATAGCATGCACCCTGACTTTCCCTGAAATAGAAAACGTGTCGACCCTGGTTAGTGGGATTCTGTGCTTGTATTCCAGCAGGTGAGTACCATTTACTGCCACCTGTGAGGGAAGACATATTTTAGTTGCCTATTTTTCTGTTCACTGATTTAGCATGCAATCTTACTGTTTTTACACAGGCTTGCTGAAGCCTTTGTCCTGAACAGCACGAGTTCACTGACCTTAAAACCATCTTCATGCACCAGGATGATGGTCTCAAAGGGGGCTCCTCGTTTGTATGGCAGCTGATGGAGCGTCTCCTCTTGGCCCCAGCTCTCCTGCAGCAGGGCCTTGCAGACCACACAGGGAGAGCCTCTGAAGCGAGGGCTGAAGTGGAGGGCGACGTCAGAGCGCGGCTTAGTGCTGCAGCCGCTCGACAGGTCAATCTGAAACCTGCAGCGAGGGTGCAGACCAAGCATGGAGTAAAGACTGAAGAAAAGGGGCAACAGACCTGGGGCCTCCAAAAATCACTGAATTTCATAAGGTTTTTAATTTGATAAAAAGCAAGTTTGTTAGAGAACCTGCACCACTGAAGTCCAGTATCAAAACAGGCAGGTCCTGCATCATTACCCCATCCTGTGGCCTTCTTATATAGAGATATTAAAATATTGTTTAAAGATGCATTTTAGTTTGACAAAAATACATTTTAAAAATCATGATTTAGAGATCTTAAAAAGTTCCAACATGTTTTATCCAAATCTAACGTTTCAAGTATAAGAATTAACATTTCTTTGAGCACCAGCCTGATGTCTGACCTGCTACTGCTCATCCTTACCACTGAGCAAAAGGTCACTTGAACCCTTCTTGTAGATGTTTGCTTTATAAATTTGTTTAAAAGCCGCAACATGTAGGGGCAAGCTTTGGACAGATGTGACAATTTGCCGACTTAATGACTTTAATTATTCATGACAACACTGATCAGATGCTGCTCCGGTGTCCACAGAACTAGATCAGCTGTTCCCCATAAGAGGTTCGCTTTGAGGATGGGCCAAGGCGCAACAAGAGCTGTTCATTACAATTTGTTAACGTGCATGTTTCATGGCAACATTTATATGAAGGCCTTATTTGCATGAAATGTAAATAAATCTAACCAATAGCTTATATGTTTAAATATTGGTCAGCAAAGTCACACAAACAACTGTCAATTAAAATCTGACTTATTCCAGTGCGACTGAGAACAAGCCTCTACATTTAGTTAATATTGATCTAACATCAGTTTTGTTTTAGAAGCTTGTTAAATAAAATTTGTGAAACTTAGAGGTCCACTGTATTATTTTAGCTAAACGGGTTGCCAGTATATACATTGGGTATACAGGAGAGCCACCCCCTCCAAGCATTAATTGGTTCACAGCCTGAAATGAAAAGTTTTTTTGCAGCTTTATTTGCCCAATGCAACTTACATCAAACAAGTGAAAGAAAAAATAAGTTCTGAAAAATAAAAAATAAAAACTGGAATAACTTGATTTGGAAAAGGATTGCCTGCCTCCCTGGATTAATACTTTGTGGAACCAGCTTTTGCTTTAATTACATCCTCGAGTCCGTTTGGATACACCTCTACCAACTTCGCACACCTAGACTGAGCAATGTTTGGCCACTCTTCCTTACAGAGCTGTTCAAACTCAGTCGGGCTGGATCATGACCCCAGTCCTCAGGTCATTCCACAGGGGTCAAGTCTGGGCTCTGACTAGGCCACGAGGACATTCACCTATTTCTCCTCTCTGACCAGTTTCCTCCTTGCTGTGCCATCCAGTTTGGAGGGACAGCCTGACACTTGGCAGAGTCATGGTAATGCCAAACACCTTCCACTTATTAATCATACAAGTAACTGTGCTCCTAGGGATAGATAAAATCTTTTAAATGTACCCATCTCCTGACTTTCCACAACTTCGTCCCTGAGAACTTTTGAAAGGACCTTGCCATCCATAGTCGACTGTTTGCTTTCAGTTGCACTCACTGACGGACATGGTGTCACCACTTCTCTCCAATAGTAAAAATCAAGCCAAAATACCATAAATATGGGGACTTCCATCTTGCTTTTGTGCTACCAGGAGGAGTGACAACATCAGACCACCAATCAAAGCTGTCAAATCAATAAAAACACACCACTTTCTATATCATTCATTCATTTTCTACCGTTTGGTCCCTGAGCAGGGTCACAGGGGGGGCTGGAGCCAATCCCGGCCGGCAATCGGGCGAAGGCAGGGTACACCTGGACAGGTTGCCAATCCATCGCAGGGCTAACACATAGACGAACAACCACACACACACTCCTATGGGCAATTTAGAGTCACCAATCAACCTAAGCTGCATGTCTTTGGACTGTGGGAGGAAGCCGGAGTACCCGGAGAGAACCCACACAAGTACAAGGAGAACATGCAAACTCCACACAGAAGGGTCCGAACCCGCTGTGAGGCAACGGCGCTAACCACTGCGCCACCGTGCTGCCCTCTTCCTATATCATCTAATAACTTATTAAAAACTAGCTTCCCAGGAAGATGACACCTGTACACACATCAGCATGATAATATTTACCTAAAGCCACAGAAGTGACCTCTGGGAAGTTTTTATTTGATTTGTACCTTGAGTTTTTAGTGTGGCTCGTGTCCCACCTGTGAACATGGAGGAGATGGGATTTGGACCTTGACAAATCAAGTTATCCCAGATTACTTCTTAAACTAATTCTCTGGGCTGTTCCTTCCCCCCGCTTGCATGTTTGTAAACTGCATTGAGTAAATAAAACAGGGAAAGTTTTTGTTGTTCCCCCAAATTTGAAATTGTGAAAGAAAAAATGTGAATGTTTTTAAAAGCGGGTTATTATTTTCCAATGTAGGTGCTGTGAATATCACTATGAAGGTTTTTGATGGTCTATTCGTTTAGTTTAAGAACCTTTGAACACAACAGTGGTTTATAGATTTGTCAGATAAAATCACTACATCTACCACTAAATCTTGGACATCGACGCGTTGGTTTTTTGTACCTGTCAGCATCCGGGGGTACAGTGCCCTGAATGATGATAATCTCCCCAGGGTGCAGGCCTCCAGGTATGGGTCCTGTGTATGGGATCACCTGAGGGAGACAGCTGACGTTAGAGCTCTGGAAAACTGCGCTGCAAACAGCTGAACACACGCAGCCCGAAATGAGCGAGCTAAGATAAATCGCTTCTGTGTAGGCCGTGTAGACACATGTTGATCACACGTAGTTTTAGCTGGATTCTGCTAGAAGCTACACCAGGATCTATTGATCTCTCTACAACGGCATCAAACAACTCATGCACATAACCAGAAGAAGCTTCTTACCGGATTCAGGACAGTGTGTTTCGCATTTGCCACAGACATCGGGCTCCTCGTGTCACACTACAACATGCAGCAGTGCTGAAATGTGCGCTATCTGCGCTAATTACGACTGGTTTGTAGCTCAGCTGCAGAGGTTAGGGATAATGGCAGTGGGCATCTTTCCCCCACCACCTCGCGCATGCGCAGATTCTGCCATGTGATCAGGTCTAGATGCTGAATGACACTTGATATACAATTTTTTTGTTATCGTATCAACAAGGACAAGAGAAAATCAAGTTTTTAATTGGCCGTTATCAATCATTAGATAAATAAGAATGAGCCTTTTTGCTCGTCCTATTTTGTTCAGATCGCAACGTTTGGTTTCCCAGTTAAAAGCAGGATGGATCGAGCATTTGTTTTTTTCAGACTCCCAGTGCTTTGGCTCAAGTTGTTCAGTGGCTAAATACGTGGGGATTTTAAATAGCTGGCTACCTCAAAGAGTAAATGCATAGGTGGTTTGAAGAGGGAAACTCCTGATGTGAACCTATAGTGAAAGTCTTAAGGTTTGGGTGTGAAGATGGACTCAAAATGATGACCTGCTGGAGGCTCGAATGTTTCTAAGGATGTTTTGTCCTGGTCTCCCCTGCAGTCCATCGTGACGGGGATGGAAAATGGACCCCCAAGGTTCTGACCTTGATTAGATTTTGGTAGATTAATGGTGACGGGAATCGGCTCTGTAAAGAAAAGCATTTCACAGGACTTATTCAAAACAATCAGTCCAGGAGACAAGAGGAAACAGAGGAAGTTGTCCTGTTTTTGTTGTTGTTTGCTTTTTTTTTTTATTAATAATAAAGGTATCCAAGTGAAAAACAGGGAAAGTTAGATTTCCAAAGTAGCCCACAGATGTTTGAAGCTCCTTGGATATAATAAATGAGTTTTCTCTAAATGGTGTACTAAATACTTTTAATGGTTGGATGTATATGTAAGGCTCATGATAACATACATGATTTAAGAGTTGAATTGGCTTTAAACTGGGAATACTGAAGTGCCGTACTGGGGGGGGGCATCAGTAAAATGGGCAGGCCGTTAAAAGGCAGAACTGCAGAATAAATCCAGCAGCCGAGTGACGCACAAGGCAAACTCAACTCTGTCCCTTGTAATCCTTCAGGTGGGTTTAATGTTCTTTGAGTGACCTAGTAACTACGTGGGTTGTGAGATAAACCATTATTGATGCGTAGACGTGAAGGTTGACGTTAAAACCGTACCAGAAATGCTGAGCTAACAAGAGTAATGATAATGTAACGCCGTAGAGAGCGGGTGTAAATTGAGTAGCGAGAGTAACGTATATAGGAAGTCGACCACTGGATGTTGTAACGTTTCAAAGTACAAGTTGATATATATGTGAGCTCTGTATAAGTTAGGTTCGGGCTCCAGCACAGTACATCAGCATAGGCCAGCTACCAGCAGCGACGCCGCCATCTGGTATGGTAGCCAATGGGGCCTGTCATTTTCCAATATGACCATGCAAATACTAAGACAGCTAAGGAAAATGATGTAAACAAATGTACAAAATGAGTTGGAATTGAGAACTGCAGAATAAATCCAGCAGCCGAGTGATGCACAAGGCAAACTCAACTCTGTCTCTTGTAATCCTTCAGGGCACGCCTGTGTCTGGGAGGGGTAACATATACATACATAAATTCATACCCTTGCCAATAATCTTACGTGCACATTCGATTACATTATAGTTGCTCATATGTTTGCTTTAATTTTCTAAGTCAAACACATTTACAGTAAGTATCAATTAAAAAAACAAACTAGATCAACTATGTTACAGGCATGTTTGATCCTGCCTTTTGCAGTAACAGTTAGTTTTCCTAAATTCAGAGCTTGCCTAGACAGCAGTTTGCTAAATGTACCTCTGCTTTCTCTTGTGTGGCTTCATGTACTCATAAAAAAGCATACAGTCTTGTACATGTTTTAATGTTATTAAAACTAATTCCTGTGGAGCCCTACTTACTCAAGAAATGAATACGTTCAACAATTGTTGTGCTCACATTGATTTGAAATCCTTGCCAGTGTTCCCAGTGCTCCCCAGTGTTTTTAGACATCATTAAAGTGTCTCTCCACTGCCAGAGTTCAGTTATCTCAGGGTTAAGCTTGTGCCATCATCAGTGGAGTTGCATACTAAGATTCATCCGAACAACATGTAAAGAGCCCGAGCTGGAGTGAAGAAAAGACCAATAAGTCCACTCATTCATTTGTTTAGCAGGTTTGGATGTCTTCAATAAATGGTAAAGGGCTGGAATCCTACTGTTTTTTACATTCATTTAAATAAGCTATATTTATTCAGCTGTACGCTGATGGCAACATGGCTCACCCTACAAGCTATTCTTGTGCAAATGCACCACTTTGGGCACCCAGTTAATGCAAAACACAAATGTATTATTTATTATGGTGACTTGATGACAACTTTTGGCTGCATGTGAGAGAAAGATCAAGAAAGGAAGAAGACATGAGACTAAGGTATCTTTTTTGTTGTTTTTTTTATGTTTGTTTGGCATCTTGTGGTCATTTTGCTCATATCAGTTTGGTGTCTGTTGCATTCACTGGCCGTAACAGCTTTCACATAGCAGAAAAGAAATAGCGCCCTCTACTGCCCAGAGTGAAGTAGTATAGTTACCAATAGAACAGTAGGGCTGGTGGACAAAGTTTCGTTTTTCTAGAAAGAGACCGCACCTTATAATAACCTATGGGTTTCAATTATTTCACAAAGGCATTCTGTGAGTATAATGTTCCTTTGATATTAATAATACATTTCGTTGATAATGCTTGTTTAGCTTTGATTTAATGGTGATACACATAACAGCAAAAGGACTTTTATTACTAGCAGCTGAACTACGTCTCTGTTGTGTTTCAGTGAGAGTTGCGGAACGGTCAAATAGAAGAAGACTATTAGGTCAGCGCTACTGTCCAACAGGAAGCGCCTGTATGAAGTTCAGTCACAGGTCAGTGACAACGCATTTTCATTAGCTTGATGTTAAAGGGGGAAATCTGTCCTACATGCAATTAGAGTTGTTTTTGGCAGCCTGTTTTAATTTTAGTTTTAGTCTAGTCTGTGTGTGAAGCTGTCTTTTTAATTTTAGTTTTAGTCTAGTCTTTGGGCGAAGCTGTCGTTTTAGTTTTTATTAGTTTTAGTCACATTCATACTCTTTTTAGTCTAGTCATCGTAAGACGACCAGCATTTTCGTTGCGTCTCGTCTCGCGATAAAGGTTCAGTGACGACGATATTTAGTCATAATTTTTGTTGACGAAGGCAACTATACGTGCAATGTTAGCAGTTGCTATCAGATTGTGTTTGTGATATTCTGTGTATACTGTAATAGCCTAAATAATTCAAGAAATGACACATTGTTTGATTTTCCATGTAACCCATAGGATTACCAGTTTTTATAGCTAAATTACTGTATTTGCTGAAATGACCTAACACTAGCATGCACTTTGACCTTTAGTGATACTGCCCATATAAGTTTTTATTGTATGACTTAAGGCATTTTAGGCCTTTCAGCACAGGTGTTTCAGTGTCCCTGATGGGAAGGGCACATTATGTGATACACATCGGCACAAGTAACATAGTTATACTTGCCATTTCTTTTCTGAGTAAAATATCTGTATTTTCTTTTCTGGTAAAATTAGAAAACACTTTGGGGATTTCAGAATGGTTTTAGATGTGGATATAATGTTTTGACTTCAATCAAAATATACTGCTGAAGTGCCATTTGCAAAAGTGTCACACCCTGCCTGTTCACGTCCATTGTGGTTTTTCAGTTTGTGCTTTCAGGTTTGTTTGAATTTTATTTTTATTTTTGTGGTTCTTTTGACCGAATCATAACAAAAATGTGTCCCACATTATTCAACATTGCCATATTTTTTGTGTGAACCTTTAATATTTAAATAGTGGGTGTGGGAAATGTGTTAATGTTGTTTGATTAGTAAATAAATAATCTCTATTTAAAACTTTCCTTACTCCAACATAGTATAGTAGAGTCACACAAACAGGCTGTATCACTGACTGCCAAATTAGAAAAATACTGAATTAGTCAGAATAGCACTCTGTGTTAAATCTTTGTTGATCTTGTTTTCTTGTAGCTTATTAACCATTTACTCCTACATTGTAATGTATTACATGTATTTTAACCATGACTAGACCGCAGGAGAATATGGGGAGAAATGGAAAAGAGCAGGCAGGAGAGACAAAGAAGGTCCAAAGAGATGAAGAAATGAGCGAAGGAGAAGAGGGAGAAGAAGAATTGAAGGTGAATGATGAAGGCAAAGATAAAACTGGCTCGCACCAAAAAGAAGAAGAAGCAGGTGGTGGTAAAGTGCCAGATGATCCTCCTGCAGGCTCAGGTGGAACACGAGGTATGTTTTAAATCTCTGTTCAGATCAGTTTCTGTTCAGCAACATGCTATTTCTCTCAGTAGATTGACATGCTTTCAGTTATTGTCTATTTTATGTTGTATGTCTGTGTATTCATATACCCCCCTCCCATGCCACCCTGCCAAAGGCTCTTGCCACTCTGTGTACAAGTTTCTGTATCTGCCACTGTTACAATACCATTTCGGTTGCTTGTATTGATGCTTACGTTTTCCATGTGACATTTTTAATGATTGTATTCATAGCAGATATCCTTCACTGAACCAGATGAGTTGTACTTATTGACTTTGGTTCTCATGTTGCATTTTAGGAGCTCTTGTCGGCATTGCAGTAGGAGCAGGTAAGATGCCAGAAAACCTCTATGGAGCACTGGTGCTTTACTTATTTACCTGATCTTCAGCACAGTTTAGTCGTAGTTGCTGTGTAGAAACCCATTTGCATACCACAGCTCTGTCCTGTGTGATCCTTTTTAAAGTAGTTTCACAAATGTGCATTCTAGTGTTACAAACACTGTATCCTCTGCTGTGTTCTTCTTGTCCATGTGCAGCAGGTGCTGTGGTCCTGGCTCCTTTTGCTCTGGGGGCCATAGGTTTCACCTCAGCAGTAATTGCAGCAGGCTCCCTTGCTGCTAAAATGATGGCATCTGCTGCAATTGCTAATGGAGGAGGAGTAGCGGCAGGAAGTCTGGTGGCTGTTTTACAGTCTGCAGGTATTTTAAGATGTTTTACACCATTGCATCTTAAAGGTGAGGTGATCATTGCTGGAGCAATAGTTAAAGGTGAATCATGTGCCATGAAACTTCTAATGAAGTGCAGCTGCATCAATACAAAATCTTACACAGTGTCTGGCAAACCTGGACCTGAAACAACAACATTGTCACACTGTTACAACTGAGATTATTGAGTTTATGTGGAAAGTTAGTGCAGTGTTAAACAAATCAAAGTGTTTAGATACAATAACCACATGCTACTACTGAGGCATTATGCCAGTAGTGCTTCTTTTTCATTCACTCTTCAGCTTGAAACCAAGGCTTTTTCAACTTCTCTGCAGTTCAGTAATGTGACAAAATCCATGAATATTATTTTGGGAATCTTCAGATGTGTTTATTCTCGATGTAGGTGCAGTTGGTCTGTCAGGCACTGCCACTGCAGTTGTGGCCAGTGCTGGAGGTGCAGTGGGATGGCTGACAAGCTTCGTCAGCCAAAAAGCAAGGGAAGCAAGGGACAGGAAACAAGACAAATCCAAGTAATTTCAGTTTGGCCAGAGGAAAGACACAAATGCACAAATTCTTTCCTTCACTTACCCAGCAGCATTTTAATGGCATTAGATTTTTAAATATGCAATAAATCTGTGAAAGATCCTTGGTCAGTGTATTTTCTTTAAATTTTCCCACCTCCCCCTAATGTCCACTGGAGGAACAGAGTGAGTGATTAAGTGAATGACTAAATGGATGTTCGTGCAGATTCTCAGTCATCCATGTCACAGTAAGTTGAAAAAACCCCTATTTAGTGAGGGGTGTTCTATTTTTACAACAATTGCTTCCTTGACTCCTCTCTCAAACCAGTGATGTTTTCTGGAGAGGATCTGGACTTCACTGTCCTCAAAAGCTTTTTAGATGACTCTGTATGAATGCAAATTCCTGACAACAATCTGAAAATAAGCAACTGGTTTATTGATATTTTCACATACAAGGGGGAGTCCAAATCATACAAAAAAGTATTACAAAAGTCAAGCAATCATAAAAGTAAATCATGCATTTCAAATTGTGTACTGTGCATGTGGTTGTTTCCTTCAGTTCTTTTTCACATTCAACATTTCAGTGTGCTAAAGCTTCATTTTAGATTTTAGAAAGTTCAGCATAACTCTAAATTTTGCACAGTAGTTGTTTTGACACAGCTGTACTGAATAAATAAACTGGGGTATCTCTCTACCACAAGTCATGGAAATCCATCCAATGGTTTCAGTTTGGCCTACTTCTGTTTCAGTGAATACAGACTTAATATAAATGCAGTTATTAACTAGAGAAATGCATTTCCTGTTGAACCTGCGTGTGGATGCTGAGTGCTGAAAGATCATCCTGAAAATGCCTGAAATTAATTGCTGAAACAGCTGAGGGATGACAAGAAATGGTTGAAGTTCTTTGTTGAATAAGCCGAAGGATGAGATGCAATAAATATCCTTAAGCAGCTGAACATTTTGATACCTGAATGTATGCTGAAGTAGAATTTCCCCCTTCATTTGAATGGGGGAAAATTTTCAAAATAAAGCTAAATATTTCAAAAGTATGAAGTTTAGAAAAATTCTGAAAAGCATGAATGTCCTTGAGGAGCTGAACATTTTGATAGCTGAAAGTATGCTGAAGTAACATTATCCTATTCATTTGAATGGGGAAAGATTTTCAAAATAAAGCTGAATATTTTAAAAGTATGAAGTTCAGAAAAATTCTGAATAGATGCCTGAATATCCATAAAGAGTGGAACATTTTGATAGCTGAAAGTATGCTGAAGTAGAATTTCCCCATTCATTTGAATGGGGCAATATTTTCAAAATAAAGCTAATTATTTTAAAAGTATGAAGATTAGAAAACATCCGAATAGAAGCATGAATATCTATGAAGAGCAGAGCTGAAAATTTTGCTACCTGAAATAGCTGAAAGTATGCTGAAGTAGAATTTCCCCATTCATTTGAATGGGGCAACATTTTCAAAATAAAGCTAAATATAAGTATGAAGTTTTAAAAAATTCTCATTTGAATGGGGCAAAACTTTGCTGAATAACGCTAGTTTTCAAAGTGTGAAGTTTAGGAAAATTCTGAATAGACCCCCACATGTCCTGAAAAAGCTGAACATTTTGATACCTGAATGGTTTTTTAGCTGAAAGTATGCTGAAGTGGTTAAGGGCCAAAAAACATATGGAAGAATAATAAATAAAGAAAGACCAGGAAAACATAGTATGGATGCTGAATTAGCATCCACACAATAAGATGCTGCTGCAGCCATGACACTGGTGACTGGATGCAGTATGTTCACCTCCCTTCCTGACGTCTTCAACAGCACAGGTTTCACAGACTGTCTCTAACGTTCGTGGAAGCAGAAGGTAAAAGTCATTTTGCACCTAACACAACAGAGACTTTTAACTACGGAGGCTTCTGTTAAGCGTGCAGTAGTACAGTTAGTTGGAGATCGATAAGAGCCAGTCCACACTCTGGGATCATATTGTTAGGTAATTTCTTAGTTAGATAGATATTGATT